TTATTCATTTCATTTTTTTACACCAAATTTGCACATCTCCCGAATTAAAGGGACACAAACTAACCTTTCTAAGAGTAATGATACGCTTTTTAGGTCCCATGCAGCAACCCTTGATCATCACAAAGTCATTGTTTACTTCACCATAATGGGGGAAACCTCCCATCGGTGTAATGGATTTCTCAGACAGGTCATACTCAGTAGATGCATTGTTTTTAATAACTTTGCCATCCTTTTTGTGGATTCCTAAGATAAAAACATCAATTTTAATATCAATAATATCAAGATATATTTTAATTTCATATAATTGTTATGTCAAAAGTTATTTACCTTGTCCAATACGATAGATTTTCTTGTTCATTTCAGTACGGTGATGATAACCTTTCTGACCAGCACGAGCTACAGTGAACGACACCCTAGAAGGATGCCAAGCTCCAATGCAGGCAACTTTCCTAAGACCCTTGTGTGTCTTACGGGGTAGCTTCTTTGTGTGCCAACGAGAAGTGACACCTAGTATTTAGAAAGTATGTGTTAATAATCTCTTTAGACACTATAACATACACAAGTTTACATTAACACAACTAACCTTTGTATCCTTTGCCCTTGGTGACACCAATGCAGTCAATCATTTCATCTTGGGCAAACACAGAATCGACAGGGATAGGTTTCTCCAGATGTTCTCTGGCCCATTTCACTTTGTCCTCGATGGTACCACCGTTAAGTTGGATTTCCATAATGTGAGCCTTCTTTTGTCGCTGTTTTAACAGCTTCATTTGAGTGTGGGCAATGACTCTTACAACACTACAGTAGCGGATCATCTTCTTGAAATCTTTTTCTATTGATTTGCGTCCAAGCTCATCCTGCCATTTCTTACTGGCTTTAGTGAAAGCCTTCTTCTTGCATTTGTACCTGATTAATTAAATCAAACCCCATGCTGTAAGAGAAACCCAGTAGTCTCATCGTGGAGCGGAGACTACTTGGTAACTATATGCACAAAGTAACATACTCTAGGCATATTAATAAAGCTCTCATCTTTCGAGAGGAGAGCTGTAGATTAAATTATTAAAAATTTTGGGAAACTTTAGAATTACTTAAACCTTTACAATTAATATAATTTTTCCAACAATTTAAATTACAGATTAAATTGATAATTACTCATTTACTTTTAGATAAAGATTTCAGTTTAAAAGAAAATAATGTGAAGTATGTTCCAATACCAAACGTACCAGTTTTTGTAGAAGCGACGTCGACAGTCTTCAGACATATGCTCCGCCCAGACAGTCAACAGAGCGCGTAGTCCATGAGGGGTCTCAATGTATCCAACAACACCGACACAAACCATCGGAGGAGTCTCGATGATGGTGACAGCCTCCACGATCTCTTTCTTGTTGATTTCTAACAAACAAATAAACAACTTAGTATAGAACACTACGGCTTAATGGAAAATCAATCTATCCACATCAAACATAAGACACTTACTTGAACCGGGACGGTCAGGTTCTCTAACCACGTGGGTCATACCGGCCTTATAACCGATAAAAGCAGTCAAATGAACAGGTTTGCTAGGGTCGTCTTTCGGGAACGCCTTGACCTTACCACGATGACGACGGGACCTCTTTTTGGGATAGAATCCCATAGACCCATGACGGGGTGCTGAAAATTTTCTGTGCGACTGGAAAAAGATAGTCAACGTTAGAACAGAAATACCACGTATTTAGCGCCGTAACATGCGTAAAAGGTGCCATCAGTCCGCCCTAGTATTAATCTTCATTAAATTTCAGGTTCTAACCGTTTATATATTGAACTAGTGATCATCATGTGGCTGGTAATTAAGAGTTATAGAAGAAAGTGACTTAAAACAAATCGTCACTTTTAAAAAAAATTATGTTTTCTTTAATTTCAAATTGCGAATCCAAAGATTTAAGCAATGATGTTAAAGATTAATAGTGATTATTAAGGTTCCAACTCACCATGCTGGAAGACAGTCGCAACTAAAATGGACGACTCAACATGATTTTAGCAGTGTTGCCAACAGTTATACCAGCTTTCCACCGTATTCAACCTTGAAATCCACCAGAACACCACTAAAATTAAAGTACTACATTCAAACTCGCTAAATTTTACACTAAAATAAAGTATAAGGAAAGAAAATAAATTTAGGAATTATTACTTTCTTTTATTATTACAAAAATTGATCACATTTTTATTCTTTACATAAAATTATACGACTAACTAATTGTTGCTAGGCAACAACTATTCTTCTTAATAAACTTATGATGGTTACACACATATAGTAAGAAGGCCAGTTCTAACAACGGTAACCACTCACCATCAGGTGGGCCGTATGCTCGTCTGCTTACAAGGGCCTTAAAAAAAAAACTACCTTTTCTAGGTAAATCAACATGAAAATTATTCAATAACGACTAATTCTAAGTTAAGTCGTCTTCTTCAGAGGAATCATTTTTGTCTGCACCATTATTGCCATGCAGATTTATATGACTCTTTAGTGCCAATGTGATTTACAACGGCTATTTGAATTTTATAACTATTGCAGCATTTTCGTTCCAATCTCAAACAACAGCGCACTCTCAATGTAGCAATTAACAAATTTAACTTCATTCTATTCCTCCGTTTGTTTTTTATTATAGTCATACTGCTAAATAGTCTCTCAACATCGGTATTAGAATGAGATAGTATTAAGAGACTAATCACAAAATTCGCTATTAAATCTCGGCTCTCTTTGAGTTAACACATGAGATTCGAATCTGTACCATTAACATTCATTGTCACAAAATCTTGAATATTTTGTGTAAAAAATATCTACTTTCTGGGTAGGCTACATTAGTTTGTCAATTAGTGTATCAATCAAATTTGTCAATTCATCATATAGTTTTGAATGATCTGTTTCTTTTGATTCAAATAATTTATTAACTCTGTTAACATCTGTGGGAATTGGATACAATGTAAGCATAATTGACGTCATCTGAATACATTCCATGCAGCCATTCTGCTTTGTAACATCTTTTTCTTAATTTGACAATATTGAGGTGTGTTTTCAGCACAAACCATTGTGTGTAAATGCGTGCAACTGTGGACTCTATAGACTACTATTTAGTTTGAGAAGATTGTATAATGTATTAATGGCTCATGATCGTCATTAATAAATTTGTATAGTTCTATGTAAGCAGCTTACCTCGAAGAAGAACGACTGAATCAGTCTTATGTCAGTTAGCCTTATTCAGTCAGTTTCTTTAACAATGAATTCGAGATTTCTGAATTAATATGTAAATTGTGCTGTTGGTTGAGTTTCGTACTTCACTACTGACTGAAGCAATAAAAGACACTAGACAACACCACTAGCCACTAAAATCAGAATTTGACCGCTAAGAGGTGTCTAAGCCACCAGATTAGTGGAAATTCTACTCAGTTGGCAGCACAGGATTTTAGTCAGAATTTTTCCTTTTTTTCTAAGGGATGTTATGACCTGGCAACTAAGACCTTTAGGTAATGTCTTATTTTAATTTACATTCTTATTTTTATGAAAAATGATAATATGGAGTGAAATGAAATGAAATGCAGATGATTAATTTGACACATTAATCAACTGGGATGAAATAAAACGTAGTGAGATGAGGTGATATGGGATGAAATATAATCTCAGTAAATCTAAGTAAAATGGTATATTAATTACTATTAAAATAATCTCAGTAAAATGGTGGTAATTTACTGAGATTTTTTCAGTGGACTTTTTGGAGAATCCCGAGAAGTTACGTCCAGCGACTTTATTTCAGCTTCTCACATGTGTGCACTTTCACTGATATTAAACAGTTAATAAACCACCGTTATTACCCATTTAAACCTGAAGAAACACTAAATAAACAAAATTAAACAAATCACACCACTTCACTCCTCGCATTCCCGCCAAAAAGTCCGAATTTTTCCAAGTAATTTTTGTGTGACCACTGCAAGTACTTAGAATATATGTTGGAGAACCGGTTTCATACTTCAGTTTGGGAAACGTACAGAATCTAAACACAGATTCACAACGGTACCAGTCCGCGGTCCTTTCGTATTCATCCAGAATTTAAGTCCAACTGCAACCTACTTGTATGACTCCACAGTTCGACATAAACAAAACTTTCCTCAGTATTTTCTATGAATAGTACAGGACCCCTGGTACACTTTTCATCATTTATTACTAACAAGCTGATTTTTCGTAAGTAGCTTTCTTTTGACTAGACGCCCAACTTTTTTCCTCACAGTAACGTTCGTTGGTAAATGGTAGCTTACTTGGGGTAGCAAGGAAGAAATATGTTGTTTTGACGAATTAAATATATTTATTAGTATTAAATGATGAAAAGTGTACCAGGGATCCTGTACTAGAAAGGCTTATTTCAACGAAATCAACGATTTTTTCTACAAAACCCTAAATGTTATAACAAACAAAAAAAAGTGTATATTAAATTCCAAATAATTCCAATGTACACATAACACAAAAAAATGCTAGGTGAAAAAAGATCAATTAAAATAAGTTTAATAAATGCCAGATAAAATTTCAAATCTCTTCCCAATGTGAATGAAAAAATTTTGCTTCACCCCAACTTTTATATATTTAACTACTGGTTGCAGTGCATAACATTTCACGATTGTGATCCCGAAATTGGCCTAAGCAGAAGAAACATGTGCGAACGTCATTTTGTGTGCAATAAGCTTAGCTAAGAGAAAGTTAGTGGTAATATCTCATCTTTCTCGTTAGTCAAAAGGCGTTGCTTTAATTTCGATAATTGTTAAATTAGTTCTTTTTGAAGGCATCACATCATTTTGATTTATTTACTGATTGCGGAAAATCTTAATTGTATTATGTCTACCGGTTGTTCTTTTCATACAAATGACCGCTTTTATTACAAACTTGATTGTATAGGCTATGTTACCTTTGCCTTTCTAATGGAGGATTCCGAAAAATCCTATAGATTAAATATTACTAAAAATATATTTAAGCTTTAGCCAATTAGCCATTGTATGTAGCATAATAATCATAATATTCCATTTTACTTTATGCTTAATAGGTATAAACACAGGAAATTTCATTAAATTTGCATCAGTGTTCGCTTTAGTCTTATACCTGGTAATATCTAAGAATAATTAAATTACAATAGAAATCATGGCTGCACCGATGGAAAGGATTCAAGTTCTAGACGAAATAGAAAAGGATATTATCACCTGTCTACAATGTGCAGGTAAATATTTTTAGACAACGTTTTACATTACCATGGTTTTTTTAAATACAAAATATTGTAAAAGAAACCTCCCTTTTTCGTTTAAATGTAGATTATAATAAAACTGTTTAGTGAATTAAAAGGTCATTTTATAAAATCTTACTCATTTAGAGTATACTTTCCATAAAATAGAAAAATATTGTTAAAATTAAAATAGGTTCTTATAAGTGCTTCTTAAAACTTATTTGCTGTATAAGTTTATGTTTGCCTCAAATATATTCCTTGTTCTTATCATTACACAATTTTTAGCTCAAGCACTTCTTGAATTGAGTAAAGAAAAATCTGGTCAAAAACAAGCTGAATCAAACACATCACAGTTTTTAAGAACACTCAGTCAAGTGGAATCAAAGTTGAGTGAACAAATAAATTACTTGACTCAAGTTTCAACTGGACAACCACATGAAGGTTCTGGATATGCTTCACAGAAGGTTTTGCAAATGGCTTGGCATCGTTTAGAACATGTCAGATCATGGGTGAATGAATTAGATCGTCTGAAAGCTTCTCATTTGGCAACTCCAAGAACAGCAACAGGAAGTGTACCAAATGGCAATATGACATCATCTGGCACCAGTACCTGATATTAAATTAATTAAACGTATGGACATTAAATAGTAACCTGCACATTGAGTGAAAACAATAATAATAATAATTGTTGAACACTAGTTTCATTAAGAACAAGTTTTATCTAAAAATATGATTGTTCATTAATTGCTGACAGCTTTTCCAATAGTTGAGTGGTGCTGACATACAAAGTTTTTTTTTTCTGGTCATATGAGAATTCTACATTCTAGGTAATAGTAATTTTACATTTTAAGTGTATTTATTGTACCTTGTATTGGATTTATAAATTTTCCTTCCATTAACATTTGTTTGTTTGTAAACCATTGTTTCCTAAGACATGAACACAAATGGGAGAATTATTCTGCTCTCAGCTACCCTATGTGATAGGCATTGTGAGGATAGAAGTCTTATGGATATAATAGAAAATTAATTAGTTTGGTATTACTGTCTAATGAGGAACCTTGTTTTCTTTGTGTTTTGTACTGTAAGTTCGAAGAGGTATTGTTAAAGGTGATCCATAATTTCCTTTTATCAAGGCATGCCAGTCCCAAGAGCAGAGTTCATCTATACTACCTAAAAACAATGTATTTTTGGATATCTTTTTTGCACATACATATATACACGGCTATGAAATTAACTACCCAGCAGTGTTTCTTGAGGACTATGATATTTCTTCAAATTAGGTTTGAGGAGTGTCTTGGTTGTTCATTGATGACGTGAGTGACAGTGACTACTCATTTGGCGGACCATATACTTGTTTACAAAGGCAACGAAAACCAAGTCATATTATTCTCTCAAATATTTATTGCTGTAAAAGCCCATCATAACATTAAATAAGCAGTTTAAAGCGTCTTTCACAAATTATTGTCCTCTTATTTTAAAGGACTAGAGGACATTTATCCTGAGATCTCTGTTCTTATCAGTTAGTCAGCCAACTTGTTTGGGTGAGTACCACTGGTTTTAAGATAAATGCTTTTTATCCTGTAATGACCTCGTCAAATCTATCAATCAAATCAATAGTTTGTTACGTTGTCTCCAAATTTAAAACAATGAAAAGAGTTCTTCAAGTCTAACATAAAACACGTATCTTCAAAGCTTCTCTCTTTCTTGATAGATTTTGTTTTCATTTGTTAGGAGCATTCATACAATTTTGGGAAGATAGTGAAAAACATCAACACAGATTGCTATACAGTTTTTATTGATCGTATTTCTTTTTGGCCATACAATTTTTATTTTGGACTCGCTCACTGAATCATTTGTAGCTACATTGACCCCGCTTGAAATTATTTGCCAACCTTTGTGCTAGATATTTCCACAACAGAGTACACAATAATTATCTAATTCACATTTATCAAATTATTATGTTGAGGCATTAATTTACATTATTATACATAAGAGAGCAATGCCTCTTATTTGTAATTATCATAAATAGTTGATTAAAGCCTATACAGCCATAATGCTTTAAGATTGGAACCATGGAACCATGAACCATTGAAAAATGGGATTGGTTTCATCCATGAATCCCTTGCTTGATTAAAGAAAAAGACTAAGGACACTAAATTATGCTACTACATTTATTGTTATTAAATAAATCATGTCAATGATGAATAAACTGGGACACAAATGAACATGGCAGGTCATTAGTGCAGTCCGTTTTCGATATATGTATTGCAGAGGCATGCATATTACTCCTCTTTTCAGCTCCTCTGGTTGGCATTAGCTTTAGTTAATTTTTCTATATCATCAAGTGTGCTTTTTGCTTTAGATGAGATATCATCCATTGATCTTCTTGCTGATGTTGTGATGTCATCAATTGACTTCTTTGTTTGTGATAATAATTCATCTGTACTTTTACAGGCTGAACTTGCAAGTTCCTTAATTTCAGTGTCAAACTTCCCTATAACCCATTCTATAGCTTGCCTTCCTTTGCCAGCATTTAGAGAAATTTTGTTGGTTAAAAGGTCTTCCATGTAACTACTGAGAGGCACACCCTAAAATTTAAAAATACAATTCATATTATTTCAAGTTTAATTTTAAATTGTCCCATCATTGTTTCAAAATAATGGGGCAAAACATTAATTGCTTTTATTACAAGCTAGATTTTAGATGCAATTGGTTAATAGTCCATCAGATAAGGAAGGTTGCTAAATGTGGAATTAATAAAATGGAAAGTGTTTTCAAGAATATTTGGCAACATGTCTAAATATCTTAAATAATGTTGGCTATCATTTGTCCTTAACCACTAAATCTGGTTGTAATAATAAATTTAGTTCTTACTTGTACAGTGACTACAGCTTCTTGTTTTAGTAATGTTTTTGAGGAATCTGAAGGATGTGGAGTATACCGTACAGTTTCATCAACAGCAATGTAATGACAGAATGTTAGGTTTGTTGTTTTTAAAGTCATCTGTCGCTGTATTGGGTTTACTTCTGATATCTCACTAGCATAACATATTTTTGCAGTACCAATTAGCTGAAAAATAATACATTAGCTTGTTGTCAATGTTTTTCATAATCTCTGAATTTATTCTGATAAAAGAAAGATAACAAGATAAAATATGTAGACTTGCCATTTACCAAGGTCATTAGTGTCTGCAAGTTCATAATTTTCCACATGCAAGATAGATAAGTTTAAAGACGTCAATTTGCAGAAATGGGTTTTTTATTATTGGTACAAATAAACCTGCTTAAAAAGTACCTGCTTTAGAACATTTATAATTAAATACTAAGAATAGTCACTGCAAATGGAGTATTACAATAATGAGAAAAATCAATAACTGTAACTTACCGCCTGGGCCCATCGTGGAAAAAACCATTTGGAACTGACTAATCTATGAGTATGAAGTACACCATCTACAACTTTTCTTTCCACAACATCTGTCCCTATGACGGCTGGATTCATAGGATTAGGATATTTTCGCCATGCTGCTTGAGCAACTGTTTCCCATGGATGGCTGTAAGGAAAAAGCGAAAAATAATAAGAAATTGCTATATCGTACAAAATCGCTAGTTGCGTCATCAAGTTTTCCAATGTTCACTTAACTTACTTGAATGTGTGTTCTGATGTCCAAATCTTCATGTTTTTTTCTAATATCTAATGCAAATTGCAGTATAGAGATAAGGATCTCTAAGACTAAAAATTATATTTACTTATCACATTACTGACACTACACCAGAATCACACCCTCTCTCTCACTTCACCAACTCAACAAGAGAAAAGAATTGACAAACTCAACTGTCTTATGATGTCAAGGTAAGTCAAATGTCAAGTTGTATAATCTATGAATGTTGACAAATTGAACAAAGTGCAATCGATAGTGTAGCGACACGAGAACCCTCTCATCGTGGCCGCCGCCGCGGCCCCGCGCCGGTGGTAGTTTTCCAATTACAGAGCATAATGCGACTCAGTGACGCACAATGCCGAATTATGCTGAAGCTTAGTTGAGCATTATGCCGCATAATGCGCTCTTGTGCTGTAATTGGAAAACTACCGGTAACTACATTCCCGATCCTGCGGACAGAATGTAAAGCAGTCGACGTTGCCCAAAAAAATACGTCATTTCGGATCCTCCCGATCCACTAACGGTGCTTTTAGGTACCTCAAGCAATGGTCATCGTACCCGTCGAACCCGTCGCTTGCGACGAAGGGCTCGACGAGTAAATTAACCCACAGACAGCCCATTGAGTTTCTCGTCGGATCTTCTCAGTGGGTCGCGTTTCTGATCCGGTGGTAGATTCTGCGAAGCACAGCTCTTGCTAGGGTTCGTGTTAGCAACGTCGTCAGGTTTGAGCCCCGCGAGCTCACCTACTAATTAAGGTTACGCTGAAATATCCTCTAAAGGCTATCAGCTTAGGTAGGAAATAAAAAAGAAATGATAGTATAGTTTAAAAAATGTAAAAACAAATGTTTTTGGCGATTGGCCAAAAAATGAACAGAAAAATAAAATGTATTGAAATCGTCCATAACCATTTTTAAAATCCAGATATATCTACCAGAACAAATAATTTATTATAAAACTGTATATTACAAATGTAGGGAATATATAATAACGTCCTCTTCCTCTCCTCCTTCAGTCGATCGCTCATTGCTGAGCATCGTGATGCGCCCGCCTGTGACCTTTTTTTGTAATTTGTAGCCACTTTTGTCGGTCAGTAGCACAGTGAAGTGCTCGGCTCAGTCTCATGTCCAGCCATTCGGATACTTGGTCACTCCATCTTTTTCGGCTCCGACCTCTGGATCGTCTTCCATCCACTTTACCCGTCACTATGAGTCTCTCCAGGTTGTCAAAAGGATTTCTTTCTGTAGGACCAAAATATTGGAGCACTTTATATAGGAATTTGGTGGATAGCCTCTGGTCAACTCTTAGCTCATTGAGGATGGAAGCGTTCGTCCGGAAAGCCGTCCAAGGGATACGCAACATGCGCCGCGAGCACCACATCTCAAACGCGTCTATACGTCACCTGTCAGACTCTTTCAAGATCCAGGTCTCAGCCCCATACAAAAAGTTTAAAAAAACGAGCGTCTTAACAATTTGCACTTTCGTCTTCTTGAGTATGTTCCGATCTCTCCATATTTTGTTTAGCTGGCTCATAGTGGATTTGGCCATTCCGATGCGTCGCTTTATTTCGGTTTCCGACCCACCTCTATTCGAAATAATCGAGCCGAGGTACACGAAAGTCTTGACGATGTCGTATTGGCCAAGAATATTATTCTCGTTAAGGGTGCCGGATTTATCCACGATCATGATCTTTGTTTTGGACTGGTTGATCTTTAGCCCCATTTCCTCGCTAGCTATAACCAGACGTCGAAGCAGCTCTTCCATTTCCCCTTTTGATGACGCAACTAATATGGTATCATCAGCGTATCGTAAGTTCGAGATCTTTGCGCCCCCAACTGTGAGGCCACCATCTAGGGTTTTGCGCATTATGTATTCGCCATAGATGTTAAAAAGTATGTAATAACGTAGGGAATATAAAATTACGTAGGCCCCTGCCAAGGCTTGATCAATTTGAAAGTTTGATCATTTACCACGATTTGGACTTTGCAGTTTTGGAAAACTAAAATATTAATAGAGTACGACCAAATTATCCTAGTACTGAATATTTGGGACTGTAACAATTAATTTGTTAATTTGCCAGATCATATTACTGACCGGGAACGCGGGAACTGTAGCTAAGTGAAATATTTTTTGATAATTGACTATTTTCTCAGCCTTGTAATTTATGGAAATATTTATCAAAATTTTTAACATATTCCCTGGACCTCATCCCAAGCGAAGTCCGTCGAAGTCTCGGAAGTCCCCACTTTTTATTGAGGCTTTTTTACTTTTTCGAATTAAGAGTTCTGTATCTATTTCAGACTAATCTGCTTCATTCCATCGTACATTTAATATTCGGGAGTATGACATCATATTACAAAATAAAAAAATCTGATGTATTGCTTCATACTAGAAGAATCTACGTGACGTGGCTAGTTTTGATACTTTAAAATCCATATATTTCGCACTATGCTAATTTCTATTAATGTATTGTATAATCTGCTGGGGATCTGCTTCAAAAAATTTGCTAATTTAATTAGAAAGAATTCAACGTTCAGTGTTAAAAGTAATACTAAATAAGCCTCGAAGGTACTCCACAGAATGCGTTTACAGGGAAAGTCAAGTTCTCAAGGTGCGTCGGTTATTCATTTTAAAAATATTTTTATTGATATTGATACTGCTACATGGAGCGGTGCTCTCTTCTGAAATATACGATTCCTTGATTATACACAGGGTTTACAAATTACCTGTAACTTTGGCAGCTACAAATCTATGCAAAAACATCTATTTCAGCCCTTACAAACATTGGTTGCTGGTTCTTTTTTTTATTGCTTAGATGGGTGGACAAGCTCACAGCCCACCTGGTGTTAAGTGATTACTGGAGTCCATAGACATCTACAACGTAAATGCGCCACCCACCTTGAGATATAAGTTCTAAGGTCTCAGTATACGTTATAACGGCTGCTCCACCCTTCAAGCCGAAACGCATTACTGCTTCACGGCAGAAATAGGTAGGGTGGTGGTACCTATCCGTGCGGACTCACAAGGGGTCCTGCCACTTTAATATTATATTGTTGATACCATCTGCATAATCTCCCAATTTGTTAAATATGTAAATAGTATTCTAGGTCGTGATTTAAGAGTTTATATAGTAAATAATATTTTTATTATTATTGAAGTTATACTTCTTTAGGCGCGTTATAAAAAATTGATGAGAGTGAAATTTTACGATGCGCGCGCACCGTGACACAAAATTAACAGAATGAAGTTGCCCACTAAATCGCTCATTACAATACGACCGACGTAACTTGGTCAGTCTGAGTATAGCCGCAGGTGAACTTTCCGAACCGTACCGAAAATTACCGAATATATACGATGCATGGAGTTAATAAGTACGGTACCTACAACATACGATGTCAAGAAAAGGGATGTCCAATATGCGTGTTTGAGGATGTTGTTTAATCGATTCTTTTTCAAATTGATTAAAATTTAAATAACAAAAATAAAATAAAAAATTTAATAAAAATAAAGTATAACTTCGTATACCGGTCACTCACATTCGCAAGAATACGCAAACCCGCAAGTGTAGAACGACATTTGCAAATGATTATGCAAAGCTTTCGCTGCATTCGTGGTTTTCCAAGTTGTGTCGGTTTTTTAACAGACATCAAAGCGCGCGAACCGCGATCCTTCGCGTAGTCTCCCACACATTCGTGTGACCAGTTGCGCCCAGGATTGCGAAGGCAACGGACGTTTCGCTATTTTCATAAATCTTCACGTCTACTATGTAGCGTATCTTCATCAAAAGAAATCCCATAAAAACAGCATGGCTGTTAATGATGTCTGAGAAAGAATTCAAAACTCTTTTTCTCTTCAATGTTCTATTGACGAATTAAAAAGGAGAAGAAATTCGTGAGACATTCGTAAACAAGTGTAGGAGGAAGCGCAAACGGGTTCGCAAATTGAGTACTGAACCCATTTGCACAGCCGCTAAGTTTGCGAATGAATGTTTGACGGCCCTTCACATGCGCGCAAACATTCGTACAATGTACGAATATCTGCGCGCATGTGAGTGGCCGGCATTACGCGCGTACATAAGTACACGGCGTAGGTACACGCACCCTTTTTTTATACTTCTGGTTTTGTTCCAATGGAAAAAGAAACTACCTACCACGTCTGACCATAGATATATATTTGAGACAGACTTTCTGACAGCCTAAAATGTCAGTAAAAATCACATAACCTTACATAAATCATTGAAACTTGAAAGGAAATCAGAAAAGGCCGGGTTGTATCTAGATGTAAAAGAAAAATACTGTTATTTATTTCTTTAATATAGTGTCATTTTTATCTTGGCTTGGGGTACTCTGTTAGCAATTTGACGGTACCGTCTCATAAATAAAGTAATTGATAAAAATAATGTTCGCTAGTTTGATAATTTGGAATTTTACTGCTTAAGGTATTGTTCTGATAATATATTGCGAGTCGCATGAATATTGAACGATTTTTGTGTTCCAATTTTGGACATGTCACAATTTTTAGTACAGTAATTACCCAATAGTGATGCTTCATTTATAGATAGTTTTTGAATTTACTTTTAGAAATCACAAAATGATGACAGAAACTGAAGATAAGACACTTCGTTATAGGAGAGCCCAAAGTGTCACTCGTGCAGAAGAAATAACTGAAAAGGAGAAGAAAGTACGAAGTTCACAATTGGATAAACCGTAAGTAAAGTGATAACAAGGACAAGTGCCAAGCTATAATTACTCAAGTCCGGTTTATTCCATGACTTTACGTTGTTAACAGTACCTATTAATTCATTACCATTTTAATTATTTTATCTGTCCATTTAATCATATCGCACATGTTTTTAGGCATCACAGATAGCAGTGTAAGTAGGTATTTCTCACGGTAATCTAAATAATAAGAAAGTAGAAGTGCTGAGTCATATTACTCTTATTCAGAAACCTGGTGTGCAATAATAATACAGAATCAAGTTTTACATTTTTAATAAAACAGAATAATACAGATAACTTAGTTGAGATTTTAGAAGCTGGTAAATAATTGTCCATCATTTAGACTCTGCATATTTTGTCTCAATTACTCCAGCACATTATTAGACTCTCACGATAAAGTATATTAAATTCTTATATCTTTTACATGGCTACCTGTGAATCCAGGGCACAATTTATTTTAAATCATTGTGAATTTTTTTCTTGCTTACACTATTCATTTGAGACCATTGAAATACCTGAGTATTTTTTATTCATGTTGCTAATGACTAATATTATATATATTAATAGTAATTATTAATTATTCACATATAGTAATTATTACTCAATAGTACTTATTCACACCTAACATACACTCATATCCTATGTTACACAATCTGTTTTTCAGAGTTGAAAGTTTGAATCTACAAAACACAAACACATTAAAGGTTACCATTATTTTCTGTTTGTCAATCGATAATTTATTTAATTAGTTCCCATTTAATTCCATATAAATTCATAATTTTATAGAGGGAGATTTAGGAAATTAATTATTTTTAGGATTCACAAGCCCCGAGATTCTTTATTTTCATGGAGTTCAGAATTTGCAAACTTTACTGGATTGGTAAACTGGGGTTTCCTAATGCTCACAGTTGGTGGAGTACGACTCTGCCTTGAAAACTTCTTAAAGTAAGTAAGTTTTATATTGAAATTTTGCACTGTACCATATTAATCTATGACTTGAAAAATAAGCAATAAATTATTAATAATATTATTGATTTTCAAAATTTTAACAAGTGAGCTATGATATGACAGCTCGCTGGTCTCAACTATTTATGTCTGTATGCTCACAATCAGAATTTTAGCAAAATTACACAACTTTGACCTTTCACAACCTTCATAGTTGTAAGTTGTGTATTTATGGTCACAGTACAATCATTCACTTTTTTTATTCAGCTTACCATACTTGGAGACAAAGTATATTTCATTAGCATTATATTCATTAACTGTGAAACTTTGAATTTATAGGTATGGTTTTCGTGTGAACCCGATAGAATGGATCATAGTATTAACCGGCTACAACGAAGGTCACTCTCACCAATATCCATCAGTTGTTTTACTTATATGTAAGTAGTGGTGTAAATATATTTTTAATTGTACATATCACATCATTGAAGTTGACATTCTGTACATTTGTTTTCAGTCAGTATTGTACCAACCGTTGTTGCACTTATGATTGAAAAAGGAATTGCTGTGGTATGTTATCATATTTTACTTTTTAATCTAGTAAAATGAAAGTGTTATGATTCAAATACTAGAATAAAATTGTTCCACCCCATAATACTTAAAATTCTAAGGTTCGAAAACGTCACTTGAACGGTCATGTTGTAAAAAGAAAAAACTCCACGCAAATAATAAAATTTTTCCACCCCATAATACGTAAAATTCGAAGGTTCGAAAACGTCACTTGAACGGTCATGTTGTAAAAAGAAAAAAACTCCATGCAAATATTATAAACACCAGGCTAAAGTAATTCAGTTTTGTGAGTAATCAGTTATTCTTTCCATCCGTCCTTGATCTTTCCATCATCTTGAGGTTTTTGAAAATTTTGTTGATTGGTTCCATTACACATATATAGTTAGAGTTTAAGTTAATGATATTAAATACTTACCTTGAGACATAATATGATACATCCTGGCTGAGCCTGTTCTCGACCACCTGTCCTGTTGAAACTGGGAAGGCCTCCGGACCACTAGTAATCCTTTCATTCAAAAAATATATATATATATATATATGATACATAATTGATACAATATTCAATTTGCATATAAGATATTCATTATAATTTCTTAACTTTCAATAGACATGCTTTGTAATAATAATTGAAAAATATACAAAATGAGTTACTCTATTGTAGTTCATATTTTTAGCCTTATCAATGTAATTTAATTTTTATTTGATAAAATGAGGTGTGTTATTTCCAGAAATATAATTGCAATTTATCATAACAAGGATAAGTGGCTCATTAAATAGATATAAATACGAAATTAATAACTCAAATTGTATCGAGTAATGAAAATAAAGGTAAACATTTTAAAAACGATTAAAAGACAGTAGTAAATAGCGCTTTGTGTCTATTAAAATAAAGAACATAATTTTTATATATTTATGTGTATTTCCGTTAGTAGTTTTGATTCGCTTCGTAAATTCGCAACCTAAAATTTAATTGGCAATATATTATCATTAGGTAGTTAATCTTATAATGAAACCTGTTTTTTCCTTTATAAGTACCAAATTAAAATAATCAATGACATTCCGTTCTCGTGTAAATCCAACACTAATGTTGTAACGTACTTGAATTAGTTTTTAAACTAGTTCTAAACTAATTCAAGTACAGAAAATTTTCGAAAGTAATACAATTACTACTTATCGTTATTTATAGAATGTTTTTTTTCCTACCTAAGTTGATAGCCTTGAGAGGCTATTTCAGCGCAACCTTAATTAGTAGGTGAGCTCACGGTACTCAAACCTGACGACGTTGCTAACACGAACCCTAGCAAGAGCCGTGATTCGCAGAATCTACCAATGGATCGGAAACGCGTCCCACTGAGAAGATCCGGCGAGAAACTCAGTGGGTTGTGTCTGAGGGTTAATTTACTCGTCGAACCCGTCGCTTGCGACGAAAGGCTGCGAACGATAGCCTCGTTTGAAGAAGAAAATGTCATAGCGCTTGGATGAAATCATCTCAAACATTTTCTCAGAGCACTCCCCATGGAACATACGGTATAAAATACAGAGTGAGGCGAAGTCCTTCTGCAGACTCAGAGGTTTTTTTTTTATGATTGAAGGATTACTGGTGGCCCGGAGGCCTTTCCAGTTTCACCAGGACAGGTGGGCGAGCAAAGGCTCAGCCAGGAGGGGTGGGATTTGCTAACAGCTACCCGAGCGCCTCCGAAGGAGACCTAACAGCTCAAGAGTAGCTGCTTCGCGAATGAATCTACTATTGCACGGCGAACTCTTTGTCGAGTTCGACGAGTACGGTTACCGGGGTCCCTAAGCCTGCTCCTAGTGTTAGAGCTGAAGGCGTCTAATGCAAAGGTTATTGGATCTGATGGATCCGTAAGGACGTGTAGACTCAGAGGTTCCAAACTATCCAGAGTATCTGTTTATCGACAATTCGAACGGCCATTTTCTGTATGGGGTCAAATGGAAGTAGCTGGTATTCGGGAGCCCCGGCCCAGAGGTGGGAGCAGTACTCCACGCAAGGCCGGATTCGTGCTTTATAAAGCAAAAGTCTTTGTCCAGGCGTGAAGTACCGCTTCGCTCTGTTGAGGACTCCCAGCATTTTGGACTATAATTTGGCTTTGCCCTCCAAATGACTCCGAAATTGGAAATCGCAAACGTCGATCCCAAGTATCCCGATACTCGTGGTAGGTTTCAAGGATACTCCTTGGACTTGGGGCACCATGACAAAGGGGTCCTTCTTCGCAGTGAACGCGTAAACTTGTGTCTTCAACGGGTTGAATTGAATCAAGTTCAATCCACCCCACTCGGAGACTCGCCCCAGTGAGTTCTCCACTTCAGACACAAACTTTGATCGTCTCTCGCGCACCACGCTCCGAGAGAAACTGATGGTCGATATATAGCGCATCCACCGTGCTATCATCCGCATAGCAATGCATTCCATTAATAGATAGCAAGTCATAAGCTTTGTAAATTTGATATTTTTTGTAATTTGAGCTTTTTAAATTGCGATATTGTGCTTATACTCGTATATAACATAACATTCAAGCTAATAGTAATGGTTTATATTTAAATGCTAAGATTTTATTATGTCACACTTTATGCGTGCGCCAACGTTAGCTTTTTACCTTGGTTTCTCTCGTTAAATAAAAATTGCAAACTATAAATACCTTACTAAATTATAAAAATATGTTACCATCAAAATATGTTACATACATTACCAAAAATATGTTACATCGTCATTAGAAGTGTAAGATAATCTGTACCATTCTTTTAAAATAATTTCGTAGTCAATAGTTGTTTTCGAATCAAGTAGTTTTTGAGATTTATGATATTTTTGGGTTACACGCTGCCTAAAAATTAGAATTAAAAAAAAATTCATTTCGTGTCACACATTCCTTTTTAAGAAACTTAGCACAATGCCTTGCCCGAAAATCACTATCCAGGTCTTTACAATGACTTATGCACCCATTTGTATTGCTTACATCACAACTCAGCATATAATGACAGTATAATCAAAATTAAGTTGTAAAAATTAGTTATACGTTGTATCATTTGTGTAATTTCAGAATTTAATAAATGAAAAACTTGGCGTGTTCTTACAAATAACTAATATATTGTTTATTATCACGCTGCCCGCTGTTGTTCTGCAAATCAAAGGAAATCATTTTAGCTTCAGTAAGTTTTTTAAATATGATAGATATAAATATAGTTGAGAAAAATGTAATCAAATTAACGAATATGACTACAGGGTGTAATCATCAATCATGATAACAAATTAACTTATTAGCTTTAATTATTAAATTAGCTTATTGTTAATGTTAACCCCGTATGACGTCACCCATAGTGGATTTGTGCATTTTTTTTAAAGTTTACGCGGCAATTTTAAAAATAGAAGTGCTGTAATGTTCCTTACTGTTGTCTAAGAATTTTTGTAGTATGAAATTTTTAGTTCCTAATACTAAAATCTCATTTATGCCTAATTAATTTGTAAGATCGATTCCATAGCTACAAGTTCGATAGTTCGATGATCGACTAATAAATAATATTATTCACTGCTGTATTTAATTTCACCTGCGCATCGTCATTTTGGTATTATTCAACCAGTAATTTTCTACTAAAATTTCAAGTTTAAATATCTGTACCTATAGGCAAAGCTTTGTAAGGGAATAAATACTTAAACAAAAACCGTAAATATAAAATTATATTTTAATGGAATTCAAAATACACTTATTTCAGTTTAGCTTAAGTCTAGAGGATATAATTCTGTTAAAAAATTTCAGTCGGTGCTACGACGGTGTGTATGATATACTTGATCCTGTTTTTGAAGATTTGGAGCTACTCACAAACCAATTATTGGTGCAGAAATGGCACGAAGAACAGATTCTCCAAAAACAAATTGAGAAGGCAAAGCTTGTCAGCACCTAATTGGAGTGAGTTGTTATTTAATGACAATTTAAATATACTGTACGGGCCGTAGTGGGTCGACCCACAATCGATCCGGAAACCGCCATCTCGCAGGTACTGATGCTGTCTAATTAGTCTGATGAGTCGGTATTGAATCTTCTCGCCTCCTTGCCTTATTCGAGCAGTTGAGGAGGATTGGAAGTTTGGGTAACGAGCGACGAGGGGGTTTTACTCTCACCCACTCCAGGAGAATGCACATCAGCAATTTTATCATATAATTTCTGATTATATTATATCACATCACATCATCTCATATCATATCATATATCATGTCATATTCAACTGCTCAACTATTCAACTATTATTTATTAATGTACAATACGACCAACGTAACTTGGCGAGTCTGAATATAACCCCAGGTGAACTTTCGCGCATGTACATTCGTAAAAAAGTTATTGGCATTCATTTTTTTAATCAAAATACGAAATAAAATTTCCTTATACGGGGACCAAATACAAATAAAATGAATATCAAAACGCTATGAGACAGAAAGCTATAAAAATAACGTAATTAAATTAATTCGAAAGTAAGCCCGAAACATTGCCTTCAGTTGCGATCCGTTGTAACGTGCGTTGCGATACACCAGAGTTGCGTTAGCACCTCTTAAAAAAACTGTCAACATCTTTTACGAGGGCGGCACTGAAAATTTCGGGAATTATCGAAGTGACACAACATTACTATTTAAAAATGTATTTATTGCTTTTCGAAGTATTCTCCGCGAAATTTGACACATTTTTCCATACGATGGAACCAATCATTGAAGCAACCATTCGATTCGGAGGTTGGGTTCTCCAAAATGGCCGTTTTGTAGGCGTCCACAGCTTCTTCAGGTGATGAAAATCTCTGTCCACGCAATTTATTCTTTATTTTAGGGAAAGTATAGAAATCATTAGGGCTTAGGTCGGGGCTGTACGGCGGATGGTCTAATAATTCTATGTTTTCTTGCTCTAAAAACTCTTTTGTTCTGTGCGCGGTGTGAGAACTCGCATTGTCGTGATGGAGGATGATGCGGCGGTTGCAGTTCTCTTTACGGAGTTCAGAAACGACCTGTGGCAAACAAATGCTAGCATACCATTCTGCATTAACCGTTCTTTGTCCCTCAAGAGGAATAGTCGTAACATGGCCGGTTTTGGAGACAAACGTGGCCACCATTTTTTTTGCAACACTCCGTGAACGAACAATTTTTGTTGGCTTTAACTCATTTTCGAACACCCAAACTCGTGACTGGTTTTTTGTTTCGGGTTCGTACGCGTATATCCAGGATTCGTCACCTGATACAATGTTGTATACAGCATTTGAGGATCCTGCGTGGAATCTTTCGAGAGTTCTGACGCACCAAGTAACGCGAGCCGCTTTTTGCTCTTCACAGAGCGAATGCGGTATCCATCGGGAAAACAACTTTTTTACACCTAATTGTTCATGCAAGATTATTTGTATTTGACTCATGCCAATGTCTAAAGTTGCCTGAATTTCGCGGTATGTCACATGTCGATCTTCCTCAATCAGCTTACGCACAGCATCAACGTTTTCTTGGGTGACTGCAGTTTTTGGACGACCTTGACGGGGATCATCACTGAGCTTGACACGTCCACGTTGAAACTCAGCAAACCAGCGATAAATTGTGGTTTTGGATGGGGCTTCATCACCAAATGCAGAAATCATCCGGTCAACACACTGTTTTTGTGTTAAACCACTTCGAAAGTCATAATAAATCATCGCTCTTGAATTTTCTCGAGTCAATTCCATTTTCTCAACGACTAAACAAGTTTGACAAAACCTCGTGACAAGACCGAGAATCTTTTTTAAAATAAATAAATGGTATTCGATTTTTAAAACCAAGGAGTTTTCAATTAAAAAGATTTTAATATGACAGGAACAGTGGAAATATTCCATTCCCGATACTTTTAGTGCAGCCTAGTACGCCTTCTTCCTTTTTTTTTTTTAAACTGCGTTAGATCAAAAATTATTTTTGTCGCCTGGCGATTTAAAACACTATTATATTTGTTGACGAATAATATAAATGCCAAGGGGCACTTAATAGATAAAAATCGATTGCGATATTTGATTGAATAAAGGAATGATAGTGTTTAGATAGAGTCAATCCCTAGCTTAGACCTCCGCCCCGCGCACGTTGCTCATGCCACCATTTGGGTCCACCTGTCCTGGTGAAACTGGAAAGGCCTCCGGGCCACCAGTAATCCTTCAATCATAAAAAAAAAAAAAAAACATTTGGGTCCTAAAAACGTTCGTGCGCAGCCTTCTGCGCGAAGTTCGGACTCGCCAAGATACAACGGTCGTATTGTATATACCTTTAAAATTCATTAGACTTTTGTAGCAAAGTTCTTGATTTCATTCTACATGTAATTTTAAAATTATGTGTTTCTTATGTGTGTATACACGAGAAAATGGAAGGATATTAACATATTTTTAATAAAGTATTGAATTTCCAGGTAAACTAGTCAATGCAGAACAAGACCGTAAGTTTAAGAACGGATTGTTGTTAAATAGTGTGTTTTGTCTGCATTTTGCTTCTGCCTCTCTTTATACATATGTAATTAGATTCTATGCTTTCTGTTTGCTTTTTGTCTTCTAGTCTCATAGTGCATTTTTCTCTCATCTGTGTCAGAGTTACGAAAAGACCTTCAAATAATCTGAATGCAGTGAACTGTACATTATTTTGTGTGCTTCTAATATTTATATATTTTGTGCTACAACATTTAATGTTTTACTAAACGTACTCAACAAATGTTCACGATTGACTTCCACGGTGAAGGAATAACATCGTGTAATAAAAATCAAACCCGCAAAATTATAATTTGCGTAATGACTGGTGGTAGGACCTCTTGGGAGTCCGCACGGGTAGGTACCACCGCCCCGCCTATTTCCGCCGTGAAGCAGTAATGCGTTTCGGTTCGAAGGGTGGGGTAGCCGTTGTAACTATACTGAGACCTTAGAACTTATATCTCGAGGTGGGTGGCGCATTTACGTTGTAGATGTCTATGGGCTCCAGTAACCACTTAACACCAGGTAGGCTGTGAGCTCGTCCACACAACAAAGCAATAAAAAAAAATTGATGTGCTTGCATATTTTGTAACAATTTTAAATCAATTTTTTCAGAGTAAAGAATGTTTTTATTTTCCTTAATAATGTATTATTAATAGTAAACCGCAACATACCTGCTGTACCTGCTTTATCTTTGCCAGAATTTGTGTAAATTAAAAGTATGTCTGGAAGAGATCGCTTTTAGCGTTAAGACCATCAACTTATTGGCTGTTTTTTTCATGTTGTGTTTTGGTTTGCAACGAAGTATATTCTCTATCTATCTCTAAATAAATTGTAACTAAAAATGAGACATCGTTTACAGCTTCATATGTTGTGTGTTAAGTTTGCTAACTGACTAAGCCAGTTTAAGTTTATTGTTTATACTAACAAGTTAATTATCTCCAGAGACGTATGAAGAGGAGAAGAACGAGGAGGCGGCTGCTGCTGGACTCATCAAGTATCCAAATAACTTGACTTTAAAAGATTTGTTCTATTTCCTGTTGGCCCCCACCCTTTGCTATGAGTTGAATTTCCCCCGAACAGCACGGTTAGTCCCGCATGAGTTTGTGTAGTACATTTAAATTGTATGGTACAATCAAGATATGTATGTATAGTAAGGAGCCTAAAATGATATAAATATTCAGTTATAATGTTTTATAACAACGCTAATTTCAAAGTACAATAATATAATTATTGTTAATGACGGTAGTATTAGAACTAAAATTTATTATAAACTAGCGGACCCGACAGACGTTCTCCTGCATACACAAAATGAATGAAATGAATGAATGAATGCATACACAAACATTCATTCAAGTCGATCCAGCTGTTTAGTTGCAGTATAGATAAATAACTTGATACCGACTGCAGTGCCATCTGCCGGGCTGATTTGTGAATCTAAACCACCCAGGGCGCCACCCAAACGCATACAATAAAATTCATTAAAATCGGTCCAGCCGTTTAGGAGGAGTTCAGTGACATACACACATATAGTAGTATTATTTAAATAAAGATTAGCCATGTAAAAACGAACAGTTATATTAGTGGCTTTGATCGCGTTGATTGGTGACGGTACTTATGTATGTTAATATATTTGTTATGAAATGTGTTCCACATAAATATGGGATGGTTTATGAAAATGAAAAATACACTAAATTCTTAATACGACTTTCACGGCATCTCTTGTACGTTAACGTAATAAAGTTACAATTAGATGCTTTTAATAATTGTACTGTGCTTCAAATCAAAGTGTGGTTAAATAAGATGAATGAACAGATAAGCAATATTCTAATACTTAAAATAACTCGAACATTTCAATACTTGATTTTTTCGTATACATTCAATAGCCATGCTAATTTAATATATTAAATAATATCGAAAGTAAGTTTGTTTATTTCGTACGACATTACGAAGTTATAAAAATTTGCTTATACTCTGTCAGGGGTACATAGTACTAAAGAATATAATATAAACTGTATCAATGTAAAATCTATGTATAAATCTACGTTTCTAAACTACAAAATATAAGGGATGGGGATGAGGATTTAAGGGCATTTTTATTAAAAGTGATGCATTCATGTTTTTGTGAAAAATTTAATATTTTAAATCGCTAAATATAATTTAATAATTTTAACATGGACAATGTATATTATGTGAGTAATCGACAATTCTTTATAGTATAAGGTCCATACATTGCTTTTCTGATTGATTGTCTTTCCTTTTCCCACAAAGCGAGGCTTAGTACAGAATTCTGCCCACTGAGTTTCTCGCCGGATCTTCTCAATGGGTCGCGTTTCCGTTCCGGTAGTAGATTCGGCGCAATACTGCTCTTGCTTGGGTTTAGCAAATTCGGCTTTATTCTTCAAAGTAGTGCTCTTTCTGTCTAACATGAAATTAAAAGGCGGTTTTTTAGTTATTTCTTTTTATTTTTTTTCTTCTTTTTTTTCTTAAATGGGTGGACGAGCTTACAGCCCACCTGGTGTTAAGTGGTTACTGGAGCCCATAGACGTCTACAATGTAAATGCGCCACTCACCTTGAGATATAAGTTCTAAGGTCTCGAGTATAGTTACAACGGCTGCCCCACCCTTCAAACCGAAACGCATTACCGCTTCACGGCAGAAATAGGCGGAGTGGTGCTACCTACCCGCGCGGACTCACAAGAGGTCCTACCACCAGTAAAAAAATAGCGTTTTTGTAGTAGTAGTCTAAAAACAACAGAACACTAATGTTTCAAGTTGGGAAGCACATTAGCGGTGCCATGTGCTCAGTCATCATCTCGCTTGGTCATATCCAGCATCAAATAACTCCTTCAATTATTTTATGATATACTTGTGACTTAAGTCACGTTTTTTATTATTATTATAAATATTATTAATGTCTAATAAGCAAGTTTTGTATTATTACAGGATCAGGAAGAGGTTCGTAGTGAAGAGGTTAGTGGAGCTTGCGTTTGGAGTCAATTTGGTGCTCGCCTTGTTCCAGCAGTGGATGATACCGTCCGTCACGAATTCCGTCGACACTTTCTCCACCATGGATCCGATCAGGATCACCGAGAGGCTTCTGAAACTTGCCGTGAGTTTTCTTTATCACTAGCGGCCCGCTCTGGCTCCGCTCGGGTCTTTAACAAAAACTTCAACGATATTTATTGACGTTGTTTTATTTAAAAAAATAAAAGAACACTTATTGCGGCATAATTATAATAGTTACACTTTTTACAAGTTACAAGTTGTAGAGCATTATTTTAGGTAATTTTTTTACACCTTGGGTTACATAATTGGAGTTTTAGTAACGATCCCTATTTTTTTTCAAAGAAGATTTATAGCCTATGTCACTCGGGAATAGTGTAGCTTCCAAACAGTGAAAGAATTTTTCAAATCGGTTCAGTAGTTTCGGAGCCTATTCAATACAGACAAACACATCTTTCCTCTTTATAATATTAGTATAGATTATTATTAGTATGGATAGCCCCCTTCTCTAATACTAGTTAGCGGTTATCAAAATCGATGCTAGTATAGTATTGGTATAGTATATACCGTCCGACTTTGGAATGAGCTTCCCTCCATGGTGTTTCCCCAGCTTTCCTCGAGCGAAATGTCCTTCGAACGAGGCTTGTGGAGAGTACTTAACGGTAGGCAACGGCTTGGCTCCGCCCCTGGCATTGCTGATGTCCACGGGCGACGGTAACCACTCACCATCAGATGGGCCGTATGCTCGTCTTCCTACAAGGGCATTAAAAAAAACAATAATTCTAGAACGTATACACCGCCCCCTAATTTGAAACTTCGAAGTCACACTTTTGATAGACTAATAATATAAAGTTTAATTGAATATTTTACTGGTGGTAGGACCTCTTGTGAGTCCGCGCGGGTAGGTACCACCACCCTGCCTATTTCTGCCGTGAAGCAGTAATGCGTTTCGGTTTGTAGGGTGGGGCACGTTGTAACTACACTGAGATCTTAGAACTTATATCTCAAGGTGGGTGGCGCATTTACGTTGTAGATGTCTATGGGCTCCAGTAACCACTTAACACCAGGTGGGCTGTGAACTAGGAGTGGGTGATATAAATCGTATATAGATTCAATATCTATATATCGCAGCAATATCGTTGAATCCGATATCGCCCCGCACGAAATCTATATATCGATATCAGCCGATACACGATATTGCTCGATGTGATGCGCATCGCCATATCGGACCGATTCGTGAATCGAAATCTATATTTCGATATCAGCCGATACACGATATTGCTCGATGTGATGCGCATCGGCATATCGTACCGATTCGTTAATATCAGCAATATTCGTTTGGTTCGTATCGAATCGGCCAGAGTGAGTGAGCGCACGATAGGGATATCATGTGATGAATGAAACAGAAACAGGCATTATCCATACAATTGTAAACCTTATATTTAAGTCCATATGTCTGTAGATTATTCTTAGCGTATCAGCAGGATACAATTAAGGAAAGAAGTTTCAACTTTCGACCCTAACTTGAATGCAGTATAGCCTATTTGCATCGTTGAATTTAATTTCACGCGCTTTGACCTTGAACTAGAATTTTTGGACAAGTGTTTATAAATACTTAAAAGTTTTTTGTGTTTGATTTTTAAAGTACACATTTTTCTATTTTTAGTTGAATCCAAATAATTGAGTTTATTTCTTGTGTTTGTATTAAACTTTTGAAATCTACACTCTTTTGGTATATTTTGTAATTTTAAATTAAGACACAAAATACTAAAAACTGAAAATAATGTAGCCAGTCCTAAGCCTGGTAAAAGCATGAAGGAAAGTTTTTTTGATATTTTTATTTTCATGTTCTTTTTATTACTTTAAGATCATATTATAAATTGATATCAGAAAACCAACCGTATAACGTTGACTTAAATCTATATCTACTACGATATTATATCAGCGTATCGTTTCAAATCTCAAATATCATGAATCGAGAAAATCTACTAGCATCCATCAATATATAGATTCAGAAAATATATAGATTCAATATCCGATATTGATCCTCGATATATAGATACGATTCGATACGCGGCAAAACCGATATTACCCACTCCTACTGTGAACTCGTCTACCCAACTAATCAATAAATAAAATGTATTTTTTCAGGTGCCCAACCATCTCATCTGGCTCTGTCTATTCTATTTGAGTTTCCATTCGTTTTTAAACCTCATGGGAGAGCTGCTTCAGTTCGCCGACCGGAATTTCTACAACGACTGGTGGAATGCGAACAATATATCCGTGTTCTGGAGCACTTGGAACACGCCGGTGCACCTGTGGGCGGTTAGACACGTGTACGTACCGATCACGGAGCGAGGCTACACGAAGGGGTTCGCTAGTATCATAGTTTTCTTGATATCGGCCTTCTTCCATGAGTATTTGGTGAGCTTATTCATTTAATTAAAGTACCGTAGATTGGGGGGAATAGGGATTAGAGGTAGAATAGGGACGAATCTGGGTTGCCACAACGCTTTTGTGAGATTTAAATTTGTTGAATTGAAAAGGACTTTTATTTAGTGTTTAAGAATATTAAATAGTTTAATTATTTAGACATCAGAGTTTTGTAACTGATTAAAAATATAAAAAAAAATGTATCTAAAGGTAAGTACCTACCTAACAACTAAACAGTGCCAGCCCTATCGAAAAACTATTGTCCCCATACGTGACCCCATTTCACCCCAAAAGCCAAGGTGGATCAGGTCAAGCTGGTTTTTTAACGTTTTGTGTATATTTTTCAATGAACTACGTATAATAATGCATCGTCTATGAAAATTTAAACCTCCGGAACCATTTTAATCTCAATTTTATTGGTATTCCCCCCAATCTACTGTAATCTAAAACGGGACTATCTCTAGCCGGCTATTGTTGAAAGCGTATCCCTCGGAGCTGGACCCGATAACAGGTACTAGCTATTAGAGAAATTTTTTTTTTTTTTTTTTTTTTTATTGCCTTTGTAGGCAGACGAGCGTACGGCCCACCTGATGGTAAGTGGTTACCGTCGCCCATGGACTTCAGCAATGCCAGGAGCAGAGCCAAGCCGCTGCCTACTGCATTAGGTCAGATATCCACAAGTAAATGAAAACTTCAATTTTAATTCCATGTAAAACGCGTTGGCTGCCTCAGCATTTTTCCATTATGACAGATTTAATACACTGATCTAAAAATTATAGCTTCGATGTCGACAAAATAGATTACGATAGACAAAACAAACTTCCAGAATTCTCTATAAAAGTAATCTAAGCAAAAAGTAGTAAAAGTAGATGTTGATAATTCAAACCGAAACGCATTACTGCTTCATGGCTGAAATAAACAGGGTGGTGGTATTTACCCGTGCGGATTCACAAGAGGTTCTACCACGAATAATAAACTGTTTTTATAAATAAACTAGCTGTACCCGACCGCTTCGCTGGGCATTTAAAATTAACATTATTATTTCTCACCCCCACAAACATTCTCATCATTAACGGCTCCGCAACTGGTGTAGAGTTCAACACTTATATAAATATTAGCCTATCCATTAAGTACATGTATTTTCTACATGGGTACCAAGTTTCAAGTCAATCGGATGCATGGTTCAGTAGTTATAACGGAACATCCGTAAAAACCACTGTAGATTTATTTATTAGTATAGATATGTAGTTAATAAAATTGTCTCAATAAATAATGATAACATACCATGTTTTTAGGTGAGCGTTCCACTGCAGATGTTCAGAATCTGGGCCTTTCTCGGCATGATGGCGCAGCCTCCGCTGTCTGTGATCTCTCGCATCGCAGAACGACGTCTAGGGCCGCGCTGGGGGAATATCATGGTGTGGAGCTCACTCATCCTGGGCCAGCCACTCGCCATCATGATGTACTACCACGACTACGCTCTCTTGCACTTCACATCGGAATAACAAAGCTCATAATCGCATGATAGATATATAGTTTACAAGCAGAATTTGAATAGGGATGGTTCAGAGTCGCCAAACATGCACGATGAAAATAGCTAATAACCAAAGCACAGTGTGGTTTTAAATATATAATACAATTGTATTATTTCATGCATATAACGGTTTCATTGTTAAAAAGAGTGAAATTATCAGGTTATGTGAAAAATCAAATAGAGGGAAGGCGCGATTAACCAAAAAATACTAAATTCTAATATTAAATTTAAGCTAGTTTTATATGTTAGTACAATTTTTTGTGTAAAAATAAATCATGAGTCGATCCCAATTTCGATTCCTTGTTCATTATAATATTCTGAAGGACTTCAGTGAGCTGAAGAAGTCTACTAAAATATTATTTCATGCGATTATGAACGTTATTCGTAAGTAGGTAGATTTCATTTTTCGTGTTTTCGGTATCGGTGTTTTTATTTTTATATTTTTATGATGAAAAATTAGTAATTGGCTATGATTTAAATTAAGATAACAAAAATTGTTTGTTTCGTGGGCCGCCAAGGATTATGGGGGGATCCACTATTTTTGACAATAAATTAAACAAAATTTATTTATCTTTTATCACAATTAATCCCACGTCAAAAAGTATTTCACATGATGTTGTGAGTCCAAGTATTCCAAAATGCTTAATAATATTATAAATAATTTAATTACGAAATAATCAACTTTATGGCGCCTTAAACGTCATATTATTATAGTATTGCCGATATAGCCTTATACAAGTAATGGGGTACAATATATAGCGTTTAAGTACAAAATTCTATCTTAACTAACAGACTAGAGTTTTATTTCTGTTAAGTGTGTAAAACTAGATATATAGACATTTTATATTAATTACTGAATTTTTACTTTCCTTCCTTTCAATATATTCTATAAAATCTTTGATAAGCATAACTTTATATACCCGAGCGAATTTATTTAAATTCAAGTACCTTTTGAATTTTTTTTTAATGTATTTTCTTATGATTACTAATACAATGATTTTTATATTATTACTTTATTATTATTAAATAAGATATTATGTGCGGGAAATAAACATATAATTAAGACTGATTATGCTTTCTAAGCGACATTTGTGATAATTTGCCATAAAAACGAAATGTTCCTTGTCAAATTCTTTAGAATAATTTTATATGTAGAAATTTCCAGAATAGCAATTATTTTGTCTTATTTATTATCCTATCTTCCTTAATGTGTCTATTGGCTTTCTATTATTCTAATTTTATGGGTTAATGTTTTGGACGTTGAATTTGTTGAGCTATTCGTCAAACCCAAAGAATGTTATCTAAATAATTTGATTTGGAACATACTAAATCAGGTGATAATTTTTCTTTCCGAAAATTTTCAGAGTAATTAAAAATATCACAAGATGATGTACTAGTTGAAGAAATAGCAATGACAAATAGCTATAATAATATTCTTGTGGTGCGCCACCACGTTTTTTTGCCATTAAAATTAGGATCAAAGCAAAATTAATATTTTTAAATATATTATATCATGATTTTTTAATGTTGTTTAATAAATATTTTTTATCTGATGTTGGGTTTTCAATCTATGAACTAAAACTTTTTATACTATTTAGCTATTTTTTCTTTCATTCCCATTCCTTATTTCTTTTGCCGCCTTTTCATTAATACTAACCAATTAAATCTTATATTTACACTGCCTATATAAGTTTTATCTTATCTGAAGTCGTCTTGGCCTAAAGGATAAGACGCCCGGTGTCTTCGAATGGAGTGATGCAAGTCCCGGTATTCGAATCCCGCAGGCAGGTACTAATTTTTCTAATGAAATACTCATCATCACCATGCTGCCTATTTCTGACGTAGGGCAGCCGTTGTACTACAAAATTAAGATTTAGAACTCTTGTCACAAAGTCACAAAGTACCTAGTTGGCTGCATTTACGTTGTTATTGTTTATGGGCCCCGGTAACCGGGTGGACCGTGAATCATTCAGCCATTTAAGCAATAAAGGAAAAGTTACGTTTAAAAGGAAAGTTTACTGTTTTTTACTTTATTAGATCTATTATAATATCTCACTATTAACCAGCAAAGTATATTAAGAAAAGAAAAAAAATGCTTGTAATGCATGATTTTAAATTTCAAATACAAGAAGTAATAATTATTATATTATTTATTTTAGGAATACGCAGTAAAACTTGCATCATTAGGTCTCTTTTTAATGCCACATTAGTCTTAACCTCACCACTGCCCATACCATATAGTCTTTTAGCCAAATAATATATTTTCTACTATTTACCTAGACTGCAAGAGATATCGTATTGCATATGACATAGACGTCAAATTCACGTGAAATGCTTTCGCGGGCAAGTTTTCTCAATTCTCACTAAAAACATCAAACGGTTAACATTTCAAAACTTGAATAAAGCATTCATAGAAATAATTTTCATATCTCAAGTTTCGGAAACGTGCTCAGTCTTAAATATTTGATTACAATAATATCTAGATTACGCCTCCATGATTCAGGCGGCGGTGGTCTTGTGAGATCTATAGGCCCCGGTAACCACTTAACTCGAAATAGACCATAGCACGTTTGCCTATCTTTATCAAAAACATAAACGTACAATATAAAAATAAATCGTTATCTCACATAATATGAATTTAAATAGTAAATCCTAAAGTTCCGTGTCGTTAAGACATACTAAGGAAAGGTAAATAAACATCGGGACTACATCTGCGGACAAGTTCATAATTGTCCACCCCTGACACAGACTAAACATGTGTAAGTAAAGGTTGTTGAACGTTTATCTGATTGTGCAAAGGTCACGGCGTATATAAATTGTATTAGCGAATGCGTGGTAAAATTATTGTGTGTGTATGAAAGAATATTTTTTGTCAATGGGAACAAATGTTTAGATGCATAACATTAAACATAATGGTGTACAGTTAGGTACAACGAATTAAAATTATTTGATCCCTACTCACCGATTATTTGCTTCAAATTTCATTTGAGATTGTTTTAAAGGCACGTATATGGATCACCGGCCGCAGGAGAAGTTCAAGGGCCCCAGATCAATTGATGAAGAGCCTTCGATAACCTCGGAACGTGTCGCGCTTCTGGGAGCAACCTCTCATCTATTCACAACATAAAATTTTATCAGGTTCCCCTTTCTATTCTCGGCAGAACGATACTTACAAATAAAAAAATTAAATATTCAATGATAAAGATAAAGAAAATATTTTTCCTAAGGGTTGTAGCTTGCATATCTCTGTAATGAAATGGAACAACTTTTTTGTAATATGATCTTACTCCGTCTTTGTTAATTGCAATTAAAAAAATTGTTATTTCTTAGTTTTGTGGTATCCTTTTTAGTAAGAAAAAATTACCTCGTTTCTTTCGACATAATAATTTTTATTAGTCTTCTATTTCGTAAGTCTTAGCTGGCTTCTTAATGAGAGTTGTAACGTTGGTGCAAACTGTAAGATTAGTTCACAAATCTTATCTATGTATCTTCTGTTTAAACGAAAATTTATATTTGTCTTCTAGGCGTTCCCAAATCATAATCCAATTTTGATTAAACTTGAGGCAATTGTTGGCACTCAAGGAAGGTTTGTGGGACCGTACCATAAACGTACTAGAATAGGCGGTAAGCGAGTAGCGATTGAGTTTTACTAGTTACTAGCTTTTGCCCGACTTCGTCCACGTGGAGTAGTTCACAAATAATGCTTTATTTTAGACCAAATTTGACTAAAATAAAAAACGTTATGGTCAGCCAACCTTAACATATAGAGATATGTTGTCGCGGACTTTTTTTTAGATCTTTTAAAGAGAACAATTCTGTCATACATTATTTTAGCGAACATTTAACCGTTTCTGCAGCGAACGCAGCGGAAGCTCTCAAAAGGTAAAAATACCTCGATTTTGAAACATCCTTTATTGGTGCTTTGCTTGTATTGGTCTTAGCGTGATGTTATATAGCCTATTATAGCCTTCCTCGATAAATGGGCTATTTAACACTGAAAACACTGAATTTTTGTCAAATCGGAACAGTAGTTCCTGAGATTAGCGCGTTCAAACAAACAAACTCTTCAGCTTTATAATATTAGTAGGTATAGATAAATAAAAAACTTTAAAGTGAATATTGATCGATATACACCGCACCACATAGTAAGTACGAAATCTAAACCAGATTTATATAGGTACGCAATTTCAATGGGCAATTAACAAAGCTCGTGCAAACAGAACTGAGATACGTGTTGGCAGGGGTTTAATCATGTAATAACATTTGCGGCGTGAGACGAGAGCTCGGCGCTAACAATGTTGACCCTCGAGAACAAACAACGAAGGCTGCGTCAGCCCACGGACCGCCGCATCCAGCCGCAACCCTATCGCGTCCGCAAATATATAAAGTTATGCTTAATTTGAGGAGTTTCTGGGTCGTCGAAGTATCGAAAAATACTAAATAGAAACAATAAGTGAACCCAAACGAAATTGTTGATGTGTGTGAGTTAACTGTGCTGTAATCTTTCAGAGTGGTCACTAAAATAGCATCTAACGCATTTAAATTTTAATAATTGCATTACAATAACAACTAATCAACCTCTAAAATTTAAATGCCCTAAAATTATTTCTTAATAATAATAAATTTGTGATCACATCATATAAAAAATATACGGTCCACAATATTTATAATGTACGACCCGAATCTAAGGAAAATTCTTCGGTTCATATATGCTGAAAACCAATACATCTCATCCGTGCTGACTCACAAGACGCTTTACCACCAGTAATTATGTAAATTACAATTTTTCCGGTTTCATATTTTAGTATACGACGTTATTCCTTCATCGTGGAGCGCATTCGTGAACATTAAGTTCGTATTTCATTAGAAAAATTGTATTAAGTACATTCAATCAATGCGGGATTTGAAGACTAGCGTAGTCGCTTAACTGGATAAAAGTACACCGGACGTATTATTATTTAGACCACAACGACTTAATAGAGTAAGAACCCAGGGCCCCCAGACGTCACGTATTTTCTGACGAACGAAATGTGGCCGATTGCGTAGTGTTAGTATGTACTAAGAATGCATGCCTACCTGCTACCTTGCTTAGACGGCCAATATACCATATATAATTTGATTAATTATTTACCTGATTATTTAATTTTTAACTGATTTTCTTTTAATATTAATAATTAATTGATATGAGTCAACTGTAAGAGAGAGATAGAGAGACAGAGAAGTCAAGATATCATAATACATGTCTCATTCAGTCTCATGCGCGTGGATAATGCCCTCGCGCTCTTACCCACAGAGGTATTAAATTGAATTTAGGGGATGATTATCCCCTTGGATCAGTCTGTCTTTTTGTAAGAGGTTTTAAAATAGTTGTTTGGTGGACATATATAAAAATCAGTTTTCAGAATTTACCTGAAGTAGGTCATGATTTTATGTGCCTTGAGTACCTGATACCTGAAAATTGGCCGTCTAAGCAAGGTAGCAGTTAGGCATGCGTTTTTAGTACATTCTAACACTACGCAATCGGCCACATTTCGTTCCGTCAGAAAATACGTGACGTCTGGGGGCCCTGGGATCTTTGACTATAACAACCACTGCACTCACAACTAGAAAAACGAGACCATCCCAAAAGTGTTAATTAAAAATTCAGTTTTGCAATAATCACTGTAATCACTTATATAGTAATCAAAAAGTCATCCAAATATTATGAATAAATATTGTTAATTCAAATACAGATAAAAAGTAGGGAACTATTATACTCGTAGTAGTACCTATAATGACAAAAATAAACCTCACTTTCCAATTCTGTCATTTATGTAGATACGAAGTTCAAACATTTGAAGAAATTTCTCAGGATAGCTCTCCATGAGATCAGTGACAGAAATTGATAGAAAGAGACAACAGAAGATTTTTTTTTTTATGAAAAAAGGTTTACTGGTTGCCCGAAAGCCTTTCCAGTTTCATGAGACAGGTGGTCGAGCAAAGGCTCAGCGAGGACCTAACAGCTCAAGGGCAGTTGCTTCCCGAATGAATCTACGACCAGATCGAAATCATGACCCGCTGAGAAGATCCGGCAAGAAATTCAGCAGGCTGATGTGTTAGGTTGCACGTCGAATTCTTTTCAGAATTTGATAAGTACGGTTACTATAGTCCCTAAGCCTGCTCCTAGTGTTGGAGCTGAATGCGTCTAATGCATGAGTTATTGGATCTGATGGATATAGATGTGAGATGTTTACAGTGAAGATATATAAAGAGAAAATTTGTCATATAATTTATATTAAATAAACTAATATTATGTATCAACTAATTTTGTCGATATTACCTAATATTCCCAGACGGCTTCAACACTGAAGAAAACATCTTCAGGCAATAAATATAATTCGCGATATTTATGCAATTGCGTAGGTACATATTTAATGGTTTTAGAGCATATTGTGAATCCGCACGGGTAGGTATTCTACTTATATCTGCCGCGAAGTATTCATGCGATGCGGTTCGAGGCATTTGGCATTTGTAATTATATAATAATCGGGAGGATACACACACGATCATGTCG